TGGACAGTGAAGAAAGCGAATTGGAAGAAAATAAATTCAGTTGAAATGTGGCAATGAAGAAGAATTCTATGAATAGACAGCTAAAAAGTCAAACATATGGATCCTAGAACAAATCTTGTCTGAACTCAACCTGGAAGCCAAGATGGTTAAACTGAAACTGTCATACTTTGGCCATATCATGAGAAGGCACAACTCATTAGAAAAATCAGCAATAATACTTGTCAAAGTGGAAGGCAATAAGAAAAGTGTAAGACTACCTTCCAGGTGGATAGACTCATTCAAGGAAGCCATGACCATGAACCTGCAAGACCTGAACAGGGTTGTTGATGATTGACTGGCAGGGAGGTCTCTCATTCATAGAGTCACAATATCAAATATACTTGAATGCCTCCAGAAAAATAACTCCTTTAATACCATTAACACCGACATCTTAATTTGCCTGAGAACTGCAGCCTTACGTTTGAATAGCCTTCACCAATTTTGAACTTACTTCTGTGTAAACACACTTAAACTATACTACTTGCTTTCACAGTAACCTGGCAGCTACCTCTATGTTTTCGAATGCCTTTTAAAAACAGTACTTTTTGTGGCTGCTTAATTGATCCAAATCCATTTCCCCTTGAATTTTACTTGTTAAAACTGGATTTAAAAAGGAGTTCATTATCCCAGCCACTTGCAAGTCAACCCTTTTCTTGCTAATTATTCATTACTACTTTCTCTTTACTGCTCTTTCGCCTCCAGATATATTTGTAAACAGCCTGTTTCCCAACCCTTAATCCCTTTGACCATCCTTAAGTCATTCTGGTTTGGACTGCTTTTAATGTTTTCCATTTGCAAGTCTTAATGGACTTTTTTGCCTTCCCGGTGTTTAAGTTCCCACTTTGCTATAGCGCTCTTTACACCAAGTTGCAATGATGCTCCCATTATGGGGACACTGCCAGATGATGTAATTTGTTGTCTGCCGGAGGTGACTGGACTGAAGCAGAACAGGAGACAGCGAAGAAGGACCTGAAATCTACAGTGGAGAAAATATTACGCAAGGTTTACGCATACAAAGAATGCATAAGGGAAAAATATCCACGTAATCAGGTGATGTAATGGGTTCACCACCTCCCTTTCTTTGCCCCTTCCTTGCTGTCCTGTGCTTTGTGCATATCTATGATAGAAATCAAAAGGAAGTCTTTTCCAACACTATGAGGTTACAAGGTATGGAATCCTGGGAAATGTAGTTTTCAAGATCTTGCCCTCACCAAACTACATATTCCATGATTCCATAGCACTCAGCTATGATTTTTGAAGTGCTGTCAAATGGCATTGATTCTACAATGTAGATGTGCCCATAATCTCTCTCACTGCTGGAAAAACCTTTGAAGTATTTTGGTCTCATATATAAAATAGCTTTGAGATATCATGAGCCACTAGTGACCCAGGGTTTAAGCTGTGTTTGGGGGGTGGTTAATTTCAAAGTAGTAGGAGCGTCTTTCTTCCACCAATCCATTCTGCTTGGCCTACAGATCAATGGTACCAAGGGAGAAAAGGACCTTTTGGGAACCCTTGGTGCTGAAGTCACCATCTCCTTCTCTGTTAACAAGATTCCTTGGCATTGGAGGAAGAGGATAAGTTTGCACATTCAGCAGTAGGCTCCATACACACATATGCTGCATTTGCGCCCTGGAGGATTGTGAACAGAGCTGATCCTGACCACAGTTTAATTCAATTTCTCCTGGACGAGAACAGGTTGTCTAGATGCTATTCTTTAGCCCAGTAGCTGCATTAGTAACAGTATATGTGTCTGTCTGTCATATTGAATGAAGGAGCCCTCTCTTTTATACTTTTACCCACAACTTTTCTTCAGCCTTAGGGGACCAACTTTCTTTTTCTCACAGAAGTCTCTGGCTTTCATCCATTTGGATGCCTGCCAAAGTTTTTACAAACTCATTTTTCTGTAACCCCGTGTGTTGCTTCAGTTATCTTGAAATCCGATCCTTTAGTACATCAACACAGTTGAATGTATGTACAGGTTGACGCTCCCTTATCCAAAATGCTTGGGACCAGAAGTGTTTTGGATTTTGGGACATCTATATACATACATAATGAGATATCTTGGAGATGGGACCCAAATAATAAATTTAATTAACATGACCCAAGTGATAAAACACCATATTCATGCAAGTTTTGCTTGGAAGGATCCATGAAGATACCAATATCTTGGTTAGCAAAGACGTTTGCATTCTGAACCAGATAAGTTACCAAAGTTTACTAAACTGGATAAATGCCCCTCTCTTCTACAAATAAAAGTTCAGCTTCAGTATCAACTGAGAAAGTATCAACTGAGAAACGAATGGCTGTGTTGTTCTTACCTGTTAATCCTTTGCAGGCTAACGTGACGCAACAACTGTGCACAGAGAGTTCTCTGTAGACGTGATACATATTTTTTTCCTCCATGTCTTTCTCCTCTTCATCTCCAGCAACATGGCTTCTGTTCAAACTAGTTCTGCAGGCTTTTATGGAACAGTAACCATTGTGTGCATACATTACAATGATTGTTCATCAGTTTCTTAGTATCACGGTAAGCAACATATCAAATAGAAAGGGAAACCAAATAGGAGTTTTCCTCCCATAGGGTGGTCTCCTTCTACATCTAAAACTATGTGTGCTGATGCATAGTAAGTGGAAGCTTAAATACATTTACACCAAAATGTATATGATAGGATACACAGTGTGACAGGCTATCATTATTTTTAAAGTCTGTTTTGCAATATGTAGTATGCCTTACCAGAAAATTATACCAACACTGGACCCCTCTCTGGTTTTTGGTCCAAACAACCCTTTACATACACAGGGATGTGGCAGGAGCATTGTAGTACATAGCTATCCCCTTACGTTTTGTGAATTAGCAAGCATTTTCTCTGGACTGTCTAGAAGAGCCAGTTGACTGTATGGCGCATAAATGAGATTGTAAGGGCTATCTTAAGCACGTGCATTCAAAATTTGCATTTCTATCATGCTCTGCCTAACATGCAATTTGCAATGCCGGAAACTTCAGAGCTTTCCACAGTGCTCCAGGGCTAAAAACCGATCTGACCCAGTATAGGCAGATCACATCAAGACACTTTTGGCATTGTGCCTGTATATATTTATTGGCAAATCTACAAACCAGAATGAGAAGCACCCTGGGCTATATATATGTATATATATGAATGAAAAAGTGGACCTACTATATCCCACCACCAAATAAAACGGATAGCATGTATCGACACAAGCCTTCCTTGAGACAAGTTGGTACGTAATGTAGCAATCCGATCACTAAAAGAGATTGAGTGTTGGGGCTTCATGTTGTCAGTATTAGATGTTTCACTACTTGTTCAATTTCAATGCATTTTCTGTCTTTGTACTTACTAATGAAGCATTTTAACAGCCAGTTGCCTAAAACAACTGCCTACTGTCAAATCAGCTCACCTGTGTACTGAGATAATCTACAGATTCCTTCTGGTGACAGACTAGAACAGGCAAGGGCAAACTTTGGCCCTCCAGGTGTTTCGGATTTCAACTCCCACAATTCCTAACAGCCTATTTTGGTGCTAATATTAAAGATTTTGATATGACCTATGGATAAGTTAAGGCCCATTCTACAGAGAGGAAAGCACTAATGCCGCCTGAGGAGCAGCCTTCCCTGCCTACCAATACCAGTTCCACACTCAGGCATTTAAAAAAGGCCAGAACTGGCACCACGCAATATCTGCTTTAGAATAGAGGGAGGTGGTGCTTCTTTTAGGTTCTCTCAGGGCAGACAAAGCTCTTGCCTTTTACCAAAGAAGAGGACAGTTCCTTTTTTGATAAGTGTTGAAGTGCAGTACTCAAGTCAACCCAATTTATTGTTTGTTTTTTTTTTTACAAAAACTTCTAAAGGGTAATTTGAGCACACACTGAAGTCCATGAAATTTAAGCCAAAAGAAGTCTTCTTGATGAAATGAACCAATGATTTCAGGACAGTGAATCATTCTGGTATTCATCTTGATCTGTTTCAAAACAGATAATAATATGATCTATTATTTCCTTGCATAAAAGCCACACTCCCATTTTTTGGTTGCAAAAAAAAATTGTATTTTTGCTTTCCTCACATAATAGTTGCATCCCATTTGCAGCTGATTCTCGCTTCTTTCTCCAAAAAGCAAAGCAGTTTAAAAACTATAAATGGAGGTGTCTGAAGCTTCACTCTTCTCTCTCCTTCCTCCAAGGCAAGGCAGTTTAAAAAACTAGAAATGGAAGTCCCTGGAACTCTCTTTCCTCCTTTCTCCATAGAACTCCATTCCAGGAAAGAAAATCAGCCCCAAATGGCTCCACGGTTTAAAAAAATAAACAGAAACAGAGCTGTTTGTTTGAGGCTGGATCATCTCTCCTCCTCTTTTCGGAGGTAAAGCATTTTGTTTATAAACATGCCCCCCCCCCACACACACAGACCAAATTTGTTTTTTTCATGCAATAGTTGCAACCCCGTTTTTGATGAAAAAATGAGGTAAAGTGCAACTATTATGCGATGAAATACAATAATATCAGGTTCTCCTTCAAGGAGTAAACCCCTTGAAATGTAATAAGGGGCTCTTTATGGACATGACAAGGTACATCAACACTAGATTGGCTGTATAAATTTGAGACCATGTTAATGTCTACATGCCAATCATGTGATCTCAAAATCCTCCCCCCTCCCCAAAATGTATTGATCATCTAGATATAAGCCACTCTGTAAATAGGTCCTCCTATGCGTGTTTGGCCACAAGGAGGGGGTAAAGTTGATGCCACTGGGACAACCCTGCTCCCATGAACATACTTTGAATATTTGCACAGGGTTAAGATGTTACTATATAGCTATAAACCTAAGCAGCATCACATGTTTGTGTCGGATTTACCAATCATGCTTCAGTGAATATACTTCACCCACTATGATCGTGGAAGTTGTTCATTATGACCAAGTGCAAGAACTCTCCTATAAGGACTTAAACTTTCATTTATTCTAGGGCAAACGCAAAAGGTTTTATTTTTTTAGCAAATTCTATCATGTAAATGTTAACATAAAAACATCTGTACATTTGCCATGATACACTCAAAAATGAAACAAATAAGATATAAATACAGATATGGATGTAACATGACAAAAGCGCAAAAAAAATTGAAATAAAATAACCAACCCAAAAATAGAAATTAAATACATGCGCATGAACACTGTGCCAACAAACTTGTTTCGGATGGCTGACGGTTTTGAAAGGCCTGGCAAGCCCATCCTTCCCATTTAAAACATTATTACAATTAGCAAAGTCCTGCTGCATTCTACAAACATTTCTCTGTTGTCCTTTAATATGAACTATTACATTTGATAAATCAAGGAGCTGGGAGGGATGGTAGAAATAATATTTATATGACAATGTGGGAAGTTACATTACTTATACAGGTTATTGAGAAGCTAGTCAGAAGCGATAGAAAAGTCTTGTGTTGTATCATTATTCAGGCACGCACACATAGTGTACCTTTAAAACGACAGCCACATGCCTCGGCTAATTCAGCACAATGCAAGAGACCTACAGGACTCCCGATGGTGAAAAGGGTTGCATTGGTTTGTTTGCGTATGCCCTGTGAACACCGGTGTCCTGTGAAGAGCACGGATGTCACCGTCTAAGGCAACCCAGCAGCAGGCAGGGTTGTTCTGTGCGGATTCTCAGATATAAAGGCTTGGGTGGGCAAAGGGCCAATAGAAGAAGAATACAAAGAAAAGAAACATTCTGCTTTCAAAAGGTCTGAAAAGTTAAAGCCCTGCATAAGGAGGCAGCAAAGGAAGGGCGGGGGGAGCTGTGGCAGACATTTGGACAGTGCTGATGGTGCTGTCTCCCATCTGGCAGCCAAGTGCCAAGAGCATTCCAGATTTATCCCCATCTGCATACATGGGACTGGTAGCCAAAGGGTCCTTGCCCCTGGAGTATTTAAACATGCCCACTCACACCTTCCCCAGATAGTACAACTTCAAAGAAAGCAACTAGTGCAGATGGAGTTAGCCCTTTGAGTACTGCCTGAAGAAACAGGGTCCTGTCTAAACTCCTGAGAGCGAGAGAAGGGAAGTAATTTGCTATGTACATCAGACACAAAACGAGATTATAAATAAGCCAGATTGCCTGGTGGTCAGGAGGGAGCAATATACTCTTGGAGTACTCAAAGGATGGGGAACGCTTTGATTGGGGAAGAGGTGTTAACAGAACAAGTGTCACACTGAGGATCATCTGTTGACAAACAAAAGCAGTATTTTATTAAGAAAGGAAGGCCTGGTTATATGGGTTGCAGTTCCCAGGAAGCCAATCAAGCTTTGGAAAGTACAAGTTTTTTTTCTGAGGGTTGAAGCAGCAGTAAGAGCAAATTTCACATATATTTCTTAGAAGAGGGGTTATTAGTTCCCCTGATAATGTCAGTGTTGAAGCTTGACCAGTTTAGAGACAGTACAGTGCATTCGCTCTCAGTGCATACTAACAGGTTTCATCACGCTAGATAAAGTTAGTTACAGAAGGAATTCACATTGCCCCATGAAGACTGTTAATAGAAGAGTTCCATTAAAAATAAATAAAACTAAAGGCAGAATGGGATTTAGCTGTGCCACATGGGCAGAACCTTCTCTGAAGCAAGAACAGGGAATACATTATAGCATTTTGCAAAACTTTAGGGGGTGAGGGCCAATTTTCAAAACTGCTGAAATACGTTGAGGAAAAAATAGATAATTGAATGATCTAGAAGCAGATCTTAAATTAGCTATATACAACTAATTACGTATTGCCCTATATAAACACTGCCATTTGAAATCTGACGAGTCTCTGGGGAATTTCCACAACCTGCATCACTCAGATGATGGTAGTATTACATTTTTCTTTTTAAAAAAGGAAAACGCCATCACCCTCACTTGCCTCCTAGCTGAGGGGGCAAATTTTATAACCTGTATAAGTTTTCTTCTTGAAAAAGCCAGACTATTTCACATTTTAAACTCAGCTGGAAATGTCTGAGAAATTGCAGAAACTAGAGGAAGTAATCAAAAGTTTGACTATTACAGTTGTAGGCTTATAGAAACCCATCCCTATCAACAGTGTAGAAATCCCTTTGATGTAAAACATGGATATACATAGCTTTGGAACCTTTTCAAGTTTTAGAAATGACTACGCTACAGGCGAGTGCAATGTCTTTCACCTACCGCATTCTACTGCTCCTTTTCTTTTCTTTTCTTTTTTTTAAACAAAGACTGCAACCCAGGCCTTGCTTCCTTTACATTCAATACCAAGTAGAACCTACCATAAAAAGCTTTAGAATGACTAAAATACTGATTGCAATAAACTTCTGCGTGGCCTCCGTCAGCAGATGGAGCGTGCTGATGAAGGGAGGAGGGTCTCTGAGAGGCACCGCTGATTGCTTCTGTGTCTACAAGGAGGTCCCAAGATTTCCATTAACTGTGTGTGGAAACGTCTGAAGATGAACTGCTGTTGCTGTTGGTGGTCTGGGCCCTCTTTATGTACAAGTTCAGGAGTTTCATCTGAAAGGGAAGGGAAAAAAAGTAACACCTATTCTCTCCATTCATTTTCTTTTTTCAGAGCACATCGTGTGGGGCACCTATAATGATGGATAATGTGTTAACTTCAATTGATGCAAAATGAATATATCTACAATTTCACTGAAGTTCTTTTTTTAAAAAAACAAAAAATTAAAAATACATATTTTCAAAAATGCAAAACTATGGTTATCAGCCCATAAGAGGCTGCGTTGAACTTGAGATCTTCAGGGGAGGACCTTTTCCTGAGCCCACTGCCTCTGTAAATACATCACCTGGGAGTGCAGGAGAAGGCCTCCTTGGTGGCTGCTCTGAGGTTCATAGGGCGGCTACTCTGCTCCCTCTTGTCGTTCTGTCAGCAGTTAAGGATTTATTTTTAGATACTAATTGGATTTTGCAGAATTGGTCCTTCATGAGAAAAGACCTTTTAATAATGCATAGCACTATTTCAAATCTTAGCATTTTAATTAGCATGGTTTATATTGTTATTGTATATGTATTATGGATATGTTTAACATTGTTTTAACAACATAGTTTAATTACAATTTAAGAACAACTTAATTTTCTTTACCTATACGAGTTTTCATCTTTTTCTTTTTTTAACCCTCTCCTAATCCAAATAATGTTTTGTAATATCATTGGACAATGGCTCCTATATTTTTCTGGTATATTTCCATTCTCTGTGTATGACATATATACTTCTTTACAACTCCCCAAAACGGCTGTGACAGACTAGAAGCATAATAAGTCATACAGCTGGAACAACGTCTTTCACACGAACATATTTTTAAATGTGCAGAACTAATGTTATACTCATAAATCATGTAATCTGGAACCAATAGTTAGTTGAGATATGAATGTGAAAGGCCACACACATACTTCTGTAACCAACAGCATATATGGGTTGGGTGTTCTTGAATACTTGCAAGACCAACACACTGTTTGAGATCTCCAAAGACTGTCCAATGGATGTGCTGAAAGTTGCAAGTACCAACAATGCATGTAGTTTGGGCTTCAAAAGCAAACCACACATGAGACTGTGCACATACCTTGCTCCCAGTGAGCTGTGCAAGATGAGGCTTCAGTTCTTCACCAATAACTGAATAGATTGCCACAAGGCAAAATACACTGGCCTTGCGGACACTGCTTTCTGTGTTGTCATAACCCTAGGCACAAAAAAGGAAAGAATTATGAAACACAAAGCTTTTTTTCATGAGCCTTCTTTCTCTGGCATTTACAGTTGAAGGGTTCATCGGGACTTGTCCAAAGACCAAATAGGTTTAAACTCTTGAGAACTGCTGCATCATTGCAACAGGATTTGCAAGTGACTAAACCTGTTGGAATCTATCTGTAGGAAAGGAGAAATTAGACTTTTAGTACACAGTGAACACCAAGATCCCGCCTGGTACAACAATTTAGAGCTGGGGAAAAAGCCTTGTATGTGTAATTCCAAGTGGTTAAAATATTTTGTGACAATAAATAGCATCTATGAAACAGGAGTTCAGTCAAGCCCTCTAAGGAATGTTGGAGATATATTAGAATAAAAGAATATATATATATAATCTGTTGTTATAAAAAAAAGGCAGGGAGAACTTCAGGAGGACCTCAACCAACCTGCTATAATCTGCTTTAGTGTGGATCTGGACAAAGATATTCTCTTTTATTCCAGGAACCCTGGATTCTAGATTCACCGCTACGAGTTATGTAAATTTACTCTAAACAATCACAGACACAAACGTTGGCCCTCTACATTTGTGGGTTTGATTTTTGAAGATGTAATAATTCATGGGTTTAATTAAAATGTAATCTTTAGGAATCTCTAGGTCCTCCAATGTGGTTCTACTGTCAATTTTCAGAAGATGTTGATAATACAAGTTGGGCTGAAGGACCTAGAAATTAGAAAAGGGATGTTCTCTTAGGTTGAAAAAATACAGCAATTCGTTTACTTGCAGTTTTTCACTTTCACAGTAGTCCAGTGCCCTTAACCCAACAAATGTGGAGGACTGACTGCAGTTTATCAAATGATGACAGCATATTAAAAACAAACAAACAAAAACAAGCTCCCCAAATTATTGACATGTTAGTTGGTATGGAACCAGAAGAAATCTAAGTGCTTCATTTAAAATCCAAAGGCAAAACATAACTTAAGGTGTTAAGAGAAAACTCTGGATGATATGTGATGATATTTATGTTTACTTAGTAACTACTGCATATCTGTCTTATCTCTATGACCCGGAAAGTGGCTTTCCCTCCTTTTCTACTCTAAAAGCTGGTATTCCCAGAAATCCCTAGAAAGGATTCAAAAATAGATACGGCTTTACAGATTACAGACATTGTATTGCCACCAGGCAAGAGTGATAGTCCCGGTGCTTAAGAAAACCCATGTGTCTATTTGAGCCCTATAGGGTTATGCTGTGTGTTTAGTAATCAAGGCCTGGGAAGTGCTTTGCTAGCTTAGAGTAGATGAGCAGGTTATTCAGCTCCATAAGAGAATATTTTAGATAATACATTCCCTAAGGGCCAAGTCATAAGGTCAAGTCACAGAAGGAATTCCTACATTTGCATTTCTCAAAAGACATTCTCTTAAAAGGGAACTAAAATAAAACAATAAATCAATTAGTAATTATAAGGTGTAACTATACATGTGGAAGACCTTTCACAGAGAAGTGATCAGAAAAAAGGAGACAAAAGAGAGAGATGTGACAAATATCACCCCTTTATGGTGCTCTCTTTTAGTGTTTTAGTCTTGTAGTTGAAAGGAGTGATGGCATCAATGAATTCTTTGCCTCAGCCCTTGTAGACTTTCACACCTAAATGGGCAATGTATTCTCAACAGGTTAATGCTCAAAAAGCGGACTGCTCTACAGCCTTAATCCTAGTGACCAAATGATGATTAATCACTGGTGGATTAATTGGTTTGAAGATGAAGTACTGGCATAGCCTTTCACATTTATTTGCATATTAGCATGATATTAGTTTTCTACAAAAAGGGAACTTCTACAGGGCTGAATTCAATATTACATGTACTGCATACTATAAGAGTTATCCACCCCTGTAGGATGCCATGGAATGGGGTAAAAGAGAACACCCCCCCCCCCTTTCCCTGCAGTCTTTTAAAATATGAAGGGGCAGTCTCTTGCAACTCAAAGGATCTTAGCTGGGAGAACCGATTTGAGGGATGCATGTTTTTAAAGACTGATCCCCCACCCAAAGAGGGATGAATTGTGTCTCCATTGCGAGATAAAAGAGGGATACAAAAGAAATTATAATAACGATTGTGACGATGACAATTATGATGACTTTAAAGTTGGGCTAGTCTAAACTCCTGTGCTGGAAAAAGGAGTGATCAGATTTAAAAGAACCAATTAAAAATAAGGAGATGTTTTAAAGTTAAAATGTCATGGCATTACTGGTGTACCTGTGTGTGTGTGTGTGTGTGTGAGAGAGAGAGAGAGAGAGAGAGAAATCATTGTTGCTGATTACCACTGTTTGGTTGTTGAAGCCATGACAAATCCCTTGTCTGAGTAATACATCAGAAAACCTCTTGGTTTCCATAGGAGCAGAAGTGTTTGAAAATAAAACTTATATGAACCACAAACTTCACAAAGTTACATTCCTTCTAGCAGTGACAAGGTCCAAAGGAAAACAACAGCAACATTTTTTGTGTGGTTTAAACACAAATGCAACATGCCCTCAACAGAAGTGAATCCTCAGAGAAAGCTAGCTGTGTTGCACATGGCAGCTGAGTAACAGCTGTGTAGCTACTGCATTATAGCATTATCTGGGAAAGCCCTGATAAAAAGAAGAGAGTGGCATGGGATTTGCTGCTGCCCTGAGCTCAGAGTGACCTCTGCTGGAAAAGTGCTACAAGTAGCTTCAGTTTAAGTTTCTCACCTTTGTACGTACTATGATCTAGGGTGCATCTACACTGACCACCTAATGCAGTTTGAAGGCAGTTTGGCAGTGTGGAATTTAGATGATGTCTCAATCTGACAGGGGCAAACTAATCTTCTGATTTTGGAGGGCTTTTAAGACACTCCAGTTTCTCTCTCTCCTATTTCTCCTCCTCCTTTTCCCATTTGTCCTTTGCTTAACTTCAGTTGCTGTGGTCAAAGTGAAAAAGCTGTTTGCACTCGGCTAACTCTACAGGGACCAGAGAAGAGCAGGGACTGAAATCTTGCCCTTCCCAGTAGGCTGAGGAAAAAACAAACTGCTCCAAGTTCCCTTAGCTTGTCTGTTCTTCCTCATTAATAACTTTTTGCAGTCTGCATCACATATTGATGTTGCTTGGCCAAATATGTCCTGGTTTTCATCTGTGAAATGTTGAATAGTATGGGATAGTAGACAAGTCTAAAATGTACATATGCTATTGATTCTCATTTCCAGAGAAGATAGCTGACAGCGTCAAATGCCCAGGCTGTTTTCAACATAGTAGATACTTAATTTTTTTCCAGATGGAAACTGTAATAGCACAAACAAAAAATCATATCTAGCTTTTAACCATATACTTAATCTTGCATTTTAATGTTATTCCATTGGTAGAATTGCTCTAGTAGGGTAGCTAATAGCTTGGGGGGCAGGGGGCGGCGGCGGAGCAAACTGTTTTTATATAACTAGGCAAAAGAGCAGGTCAAATCTTGCAAGACTAACGAAGTGAACTATAAATCTTAACATTTTCATTTTGGCAAGATAATTTACTTGGCTTATATAACTTCATGACTGTCTTGTGTGATTTTTAGTTTGGGCTTAAAAAACACAAACTATGATAAAGCAATATTTTTAACATACAGAACAGAACACACTTGAGTCACATTTTAAAAGGTGTGACAAAATCCAATAATTCTTGAAAACTAAGCATTGACCTCAGACTCTTGAAGAAGAAAAAAAGGGTCTTTTGAAACTTTCAGTGGTCCCTTGTTCCTACCCCCACCCCCTCTGAATCAAAAACACTCTGAGGAAAAGCTCTCATCTCTTCTCAGTTTACTTCTTTTTTTGGTCAAAATTGCCTTTTGGCAACTGCTGCTCCTTTAAGGTCCTAAAATGCTGAGCTTCCATTCTCCACATGAGACCTAAATGTGGATTTAGGTATTACATAGTTCCAAGCATATTGGCTATGCTGTACATCTAGCTAGAGACTAGCACAGTTTTGCATTCCAAGTGTTATAGAGATCTCCGCACACTGAATGATCCCAGAGTGGCTTCATCCTTCCAGGAGAGTATGGCACTTAATGGAAGAATTCCAGCATTTTAACCAAATGAAATGCTGGAGGAAAGGGGGAGCATCGGATAAGAGTGTAGGATAAGGCAGAATGTAGGATATGAGAAGGTCGGATAAGTAAGACTCTACAAGAAAACTAACTTAGAGATGCTGTCTGTTTCCAGGTATGCAGGTAGATGGGACATGAGAACATAGTATCTTGTTTTCATAATGTTACCTGAATTACCGCAGTTGCAATTATATAGGTTGAGCATCCCTGGTTGTTTGATGCTCGAGATGAGAAAAATTTGAGGTTTGTTTGTTTTGTTTTTTTAAAATACCTGTATTTGCATATATGAACAGTACATACTTACAAACATGACCCCAGGCTTAAACACAAAATTTATATTTCGTATATACCTTATAAATATAGTCTGAATGTGATTTCATACAATACTATAGATATATTTGGGCACACTGAACCATGAGAAAACAGTTCATTTGGATTTTGGAGTCTTTCTGAATTATGGAAAGGGGATGCTCAACCTGTATTTATTTGTAACATAGGTAAAACATAGGTACTACTGATTTTTGGTGGTGGGAATAGGAAAGAGTCAGAACAACATTTAAAACAGCACTTTGTCTTTGAGGCAGAGTATCTCTGTGGGTTAACTATATGGGAAAAGGTGTGGAACAAGAACAGGGTTTCACGAATTTTCCAAACAGAGATTGAGTTGGGCATAGAGAGCAGCAAATCTGCTTCTTCTGAATATTAGAGGCAGAGATACTTTGGCAGCACAGGCTTCTGAGGACAACTAGGGATGCTGAGTGACTCAGCTGGAAGTTTGCCACATTTTCCTGCTGCAACACAATTCTTCACTGCCACAAGCACAGAGTGGTGCCTGTAAGGCATAACCTAGCTTTGACCTTGTACAATGTGATTTTGTGTCTAGTAACATTCAGCTGCCCAATTCATGCTGCTGTTTCAAGGCACAGTCAGGAGAATACTACTCATTTGGCCTATTCTGTTCTGTGTGGTTATTCTATTCAGCTGCATTTACCAAAAAAGAAAAGAATGGAAATCCTGGAGAAATGACACCTAACCTTTAAGAATTCAGTCATCATCCCATGCATGATGAAACCGAAAAATCTCTAACTAGTAGCAGTGGTTTCACAGGTATGACACTGACCTGAATTGTTCAGATTCTGATAGTATGAAATCACAATTTTTAAAATGCTTGTCTAAAAGAAATGGTTTTTCCAGGCTTCTACAAAATCTGTAAGAAGAGACCTATGAAGACTTCTCTGGGTAATTCTGAACTGGGGCTTCATCCCACGAGTGATATGACTTCACTTCTGAAGAAATAAGCTTCCAGCTTGCCATGAGAAAGAAAGAGAGAGAGAGATTCCTTGTTGACTTTGAAGCTCCCAATGGTTCTGGCTCCTTCCTCCTGCATCTCCCACCTCAGGCGTACTGGAGAACCATCTTGCCCTGAGGGGATAGCACAAGGAAAGACAGAAGAGACTGTCTTCCAAAAGCATGACTGAAGAGAAAATACTGTTATAGGACTGGATTAAACCATATATTTAAACTTTAGATTATCCTAATAAGCATGTGAAACAACTAATGTAAATAAGAGTTGGCATTAAAAAACCCTCCAGTGATGGATGTATTTTTTGTGAATTTCACCATACACTGCCTCAAGCTCTTGACAGAAAGCTGAAGCAATGAGGAAATAAAGAGTCCAACCAGGAGGTCTTAAAGGGAAAAGAAGGTCTGAGAGATGCTCTGTAAGATATGCAGGACCATGACTGAATAAGGTGTTGTGTATTTCACACACACCTTGAATTGTTCACAGGTGGAGGAAAATGTGGTTCAAGCACACTATTTAGCTATAATCTCTCACTAGTTTCATTGTATGAACACTGGGCAGAAATATACATTTCCCAACTGCTGCTCCTAGTGTTTTCAAAGAGGAGAAAACCTAAATGAAGCTGAAGTTATTAAATGAAACCAGCAAGCTGTTTTGCATTTCTATCTAGCTCCCTCAATAATAATAATAATAATAATAATAATAATAATAATAATAATAATGATAATAATAATAATAATAATAATAATAATTATTATTATTATTTACTTCATTTCTACTCCACCTTTCTCACCCTGCTGAGGACTCAAGATGGCTTACAATCTGTGGCAAATTTCAATGCTGTGTGGACATAACAATAAAACACACCCCATCAAATTATAGAAACAGTTAAAACATATGAGAAATTAGAAGACATAAACAATAAAACAGATTAAAACCATATAAAGTGCAGAGTATTGATTTTATACTTATCCATTGTCATTTTCCAAAATCCATAGTCATTATTCAGGCTGTTGAAGTCCAATTCCATAATATCCTATTTGGCAAATGCCTGCCTAGAAACCCAGGTCTTAAGCTTTTTTCCCCTAGAGATCAGGAGGGATGGGGCCTGCCTGATGTCACTAGGGAGGGAGTTCCACAGCCAAGGGGCCACCACTGAGAAGGCCCTGTCTCTTGTCCCCACCAATCGTGCTTGTGAAGATGGTGGGACTGAGAGCCCACCCTGATCTTAAAGTTCTTGTTGGCTCATAAAGGGAGTTAGGTTCAGACAGGTAAGTTGGACCAGAACCATTTAGGGCAGTGGTTCTCAACCTGTGGGTCCCAAGATGTTTTGGCCTACAACTCCCATCCAGTTTACTAGCTGTTAGGATTTCTGGGAGTTGAAGACCAAAACATCTGGGGACCCACAGGTTGAGAACCACTGGTTTAGGGCTTTATAGGGCAAAACCAGCGAATTGGCAGCCAGTGGAGCTGATGTAACAGGGGGGTTGTACACTTCCTGTATGCCACTCCAGTAAAAAATCTGGCTGCTGCACGTTGGACTATTTGGAGTTTCCAGATAGTCTTCAGAGGCAACCCCACGTAGAATGTGTTGCAGTAGCCTATTCAAGATGTAAAGGCAGCATGGTTTCCCAAGGTACAGGCACAGCAGGCGCATCAAGTAGAAGGTGGTCTGACACTCTTTAAAAAAAAAGGTCAATGGAAGTTAGAACTCCTCTTGTCCTGGAGAATGTAGAAGAGGGAATAAAACTTCCTGAGTTCACTGCATACCAGAAATAAGCCATAGTGGCATTTTTCTAAAATAAAAAATGCTTTTCATTTCATTGAACCGCACCAAGTTTCAACTGCTTGCTACTCCATTCAGTTGAACATAAACCTTTGGAACAAAATGGCTGTTCCTGGAAAGCAAATGACTTCACAGGACAGCTTACCTGTAATAGCCCAGGGATGATATCTTGAAGGAGTTGATGCAAAGACTCCTTTGAGATCCTCTCAATGACTTTAGTCTGCATTTTAATAGCAGCCAGATTAATTGGGTAGTCAGCAGTTTGAATGATGGGACAAAGCACTTTGATGCACTGTTCAGGGTGGATTGAGCTGGCCAAAGTGGAAGCAGCTTCTTCAGCAGCTCTCACAACCTGTGGGAGGAAATGGAAAGAGATTTTTCTATTTTACAGATGTATACATTGCAGAAAATCAATTAAACTGCTGTACTGAACCAAATAGTCATGGATTTGGTCAGTACTACAAGTCTCCAGGATTATGATACTGTGCTGATTTCCTCAAAGATTGGGGATTTTAAAATTCATTTTTAGAGCAGAACAACAGCCACAGACATAAATGTCTTTGCCAATGGTGGTAGACACATCAGGAACTTTCCAAATTCTTTCTTTACTGCACATCTGAGTCTTAGAAAAACAGGTGTATATTATGTATTTCTGTTGGTGGTGGTAGTACTGACATTAGGATGTGTCTTACAATCAATAGTGTTTTACAAATGAAGAAATATGGCAATAAAATGTATGCAAGTGGAGGATATGCACGCATACATCTGAACACATGCCCATGTCTGAGGGTTTCATAATATTTATGTACAGAAATGCACAGAGTCAGGTAAAGGCATTAAAGTTTGAAACAATTTTAATGTTGCTCACAATCTGAATACACTCCCCGTTGAAGTCAGGTTGGCCTCTTCCCTCTTGTCCTTTAGAAAAAAACTTAAACCATGGCTATGGGACCAGGCATTTGAGCAGCAGGTGCAGCATTAATATACAATTTTCTTGACTGACAATGGACAGACCTCGGACTATGACTTTGGATGTGGATTTGGTCTTGGATTTGTTAGATTTTAATTGACTATTTTTAATTTATTGTTTAATTAGTGTTTTAATTGTGATTTTATTGCTATTGTTTGTGTGGCATCTAATGAGTGCTAATTGTAAACTGCTCTGAGTCTCTCTTTGGGGGTGAGAAGGGCGAGATACAAATGTCCGAAATAAATTTAAAAATACAATTGTGTCCCTGAAAAATGAGTCTGGATGGACAATTCTATGGGCTTTGGAGATGGCAAACAGTTCATTCATTTCTGAATCTGATTCAGAAAGGAAACGACAAGGACACAGAATCAAGGTGAGACAAAAAGAATGTGTACACAAGAGAAGCTTGCCAATAAAGGCACGCCTTCAGAACAAAATGTTTTGTCCAACTGCTTTATCTGGAAATCAGTTTACAACTGCTGCTAAACTTTCCTAACAAAAAACTGTCGTGTAGAGAGTCTGGTTCCAAGAAAATATAGCACAGACATGCTGATTTATTAAATGGATTAAATATTTTCTGTTCATTCTTTTTAAAGACAATCCTTACGCATTTTTCCCATGTCACTTGCTCAGTCAGGTGGTGCCACCTTGCACGTCCAATCCTGATGCTGCACTGCTTGCATAGATATGCATTGCAGCCTAGTCTCGTCTTATTCTCATTTCAAGGCCAAGAGTGCTCTTTTCTTTTTACTGTATCAAAAGGTGTTGCACTTTATTCTGAAGGCAGCATAACATAGTTTCAGAAACTTTACTCCATTGACCTCACTCCATAAAACGTTAACACATTCAATGGACACTTATAAGTAAGACACTTACTTATAAGTAAGCCACAATGAGCACAGTGGGACTTATTTCCAAAGTATTTCCAAGATAGGATCCAAGTGTAAGTGTACAAAATGTAATTTAGGAATGAAGTAAAGGACTAGATGAAGTGGGAAAAGGGTATGTTGTTAACTCAGCAAATAATGAGAAGTATTGAAGAGGCTCTCAGACTAGGAATGCCAGGAGCAAGCCTCCTGTGCCTCAACTTGTATGTCACCAGAGTTTTGGGGTCCTTAAGCAATTGGTTTACTTCCAAGTGTTTTGGACTTCAGCTCCCACAGTTCCTAACAGCTGGTAAGATGGCTGGGATTTCTGGTAGTTGAAGTCCAAAACACCTGGAGTCTCAAAGATTGGGAACCACTGCTTTAACTAGTTTCTATAAGGTGGGAAATAATATGTTTTTTTTCCCTACAAAGTAATATGGACCCATGGGAAAAACTGTTCAGAGGCTACAGCCAGAAGGCAGTCATGCCAGATCAATTGGTGGAGAGAGAACCAAATGCTAAAAGTGGGTGGAACCAGTCAAAAGTTAGAGTAATATGTAGCTCTGCAGGTCTCTAAAAATTTCCTTCTTATCCTTTCTCTGGCTCTGCTATGTTTGTGCACAAAGAAAAAAACAATATGGAATCCATATCCCGAGGTGTGGCCAAGAACCATAAGGGGATTGCAATACCTGAGAAAGTCAGATGATGTTGATGGTGACATGAAAATAGACCAACAAGGCTACTTTCTAGATGCCAATGCTTCCTCAAGTGCTATCAGCTGACCCTACAACCACATGACTCCTCAAGTGAGAGATAGCTATCAGACCCTATTAAATGTTTCCTTAAAGGCCAGTTGGGAAATGCATGTTGACAATGCAGATTCTTTCTTGCCCTGCCTTGTAGTCATTTTCCTACCCTGCCAGATTTCGCTTCATTTTATTCAGTCTGAAATCTGCACTCAGCCCATTTGAGATTATGTCTTCTGTAATCCTGTTTGCTTGAAACATTAACTCTAGGCCATTGGTAATGATATCGCAGACCCACATAATTCTCACTTTACCCATATCACATGGGACCTCATGACATCCTAGGCCACATACCTGGCAGAAATAGAAGGAATAAAATACTACCAGGTATATGCTTCATAGACACATGTGATGACTAGAAACGATCCTCTTGTTTCTTTTTTTTTTTTAACCCAAAAGATTTTACTGAACAGCTTACCATAATCAATTTTCATTGTTCCTTTCATAGTAAGAGACTATTGGATGGCATTCCTGAAGCAGGTTTAGAATTCTGAATAAATACTTCAAAAATAAATGAGGGCTGACAAACAGGGCAGTATGTTTGAAATGAACAGAAAGGGAATAAACTAAGTCATTTTCTTGTGAATATTTCTATAGGTATCACTACATAAATACCTAACGCTTGTTCTGAAAACTATATTATATGCTGTATAAGCCTTTTCCAGTTAATTCAGTGTCGTGCACTTCTACGTACCAATGCAATTTTCAGATACTACCAATTTTTCAGACCACTGCCATTTGCACATACTAACTGAATCCTGAATTTGGTTTTCTTTATGAAAGTGAAATGAAAGTAAACTGTGATGCATAGACTTCGCACATATATTCTGTTAATAACCTGTTAATAACCTACATGGTTTGGGTCCAGGTTACTTAAAGGATAGCCTTCTCAAACATTTAGGTCCTCTGCGGAGTGGCTACTCCAACCAGCCAGAACCCGTCACCCAGAGGACCTTTTCATCGGCCGCCCCAAGACTGTTGAATGACCTGCCAGAAGAGCTCCATCAGCTAAATGAGCTGTCAGGATATTAAAATCATCTAAAAATCTACTCTTCTGGCAGGACTTCCTATCCAGTTTAAGAATGAATTATAAACTCGTGTCTTGAGTTTAATCTCTTTCTTTGTATCTTTGTATATGTATTTTATAGAAATGTTTTAATATGTATTTTTATAGAAATTAATTTGTATATTTTTACAATGTTTATGTGTTTTAATTATTCTGTACCCCATTTTGAGCAACGATGAGAGGAGGATAAGACATAATAATAATAATAATAATAATAATAATAATAATAATAATAATAAGAAGAAGAAGAAGAAGAAGAAGACTCCTGATCTCATGATCATGTTAAAAAACAAAGTATGGATCGTCGATGTTGCAATCCCAGGTGATAGCAGGACTGAAGAAAAACAACTGGAAAAACTGATACAATATGAGGATTTAAAGATCGAACCTCAAAGACAAGCCAGTAAAGATGGTCCCAGTGGTGATCAGTACACTGGGTGCAGTGCCTAAAGACCTTGGCCTGCATTTAAACACAATTGGCGCTGACAAAATTACCATCTGCCAGCTGCAGAAGGCCACCTTACTGGGATCTGCTTGTATTATTTACTGATACATCACACAGTCCTAGACATTTGGGAAGTGTCCGACATGTGATCCAATACAACAGCCAGCAGAGTGATCTTGTCTGCTGTAGACTCATCTTATTGCGTTTCAAATAATAATAATTTTCTAAATTGTCATAATACATGTACCAATATATTTCTTAGAACAGATAATTCCTTTTGTAATACAGTGTGAAACTTCAACACCAAAAGAACCAGTCTAAATCTTTAGATTAACAAAGCCTAAAAGAAAATCCTGCTTTGATTTTCTGCGTTATTATTCACTCTCCAAGGAGCAAAACAAAACAAAACAAAACCTGAAACTACATACCTCCTTGTGAGAATCTTTATGTGCTTCCAGAGTCTTCATGATAGTGAGTTCAGCATAGTTCTTAAATCTTGCAGGCTGGTTCCTCAAGATTTCTCGCAACACTCGCAATGCCAACGCTCTTATTGAATGCTAAATAAAAAGAAACCACACATATTGGAAAAAAAGGAGAGTCAGTTTTTCAGAACTGGATGAGGAACAGTAAAAATGATCTATTCATTTTTTGGTAAACAGAAAAATTGAAGGATTAGCACTAAAGCTGTAGGTATGGCAGGGAAAGAGCGTGGTGACACAGCCACCTTAAATATCCCTTCTGCCTCTACTCCTATTCTAGGGATAGATATATCAATGACCTCACTGCACTGTAGTTTATCTGCCAGAGCCCATATTTATTTCTTGCTATATGAAGCCTATTAAATATTTACAAGCAATGACAAAGGCCGATTTGTATACTCAAACATGTTGTGATAATCTGATTCAGACAATATGAATCTGCACAGCAGACATCATCTTGTGGAGTATTAATCTTAATTAAAAATCAGAAAGCCTTATAACCTATAGCATGGGGAGGAGGGATAACATAGGTCTTCTTTTCATTGGTCATATATGGTTTCCGACCTTTTCATACTTCCTATTATTGTACTCTTAGAAGTATTATCTAAAATATAAGAAACATTAACTTATTACATAAACATTATTTTAAAATGGATGAAATCCTCTAGATATTAGCAATATCCTACTGACCTTATATAATAAACTATTAATCGAAAGTACCCACTGTACAATAAACTAAAAAAATTGACTATGTGCAATTGGATGTATATACATATTAGTCAAAAATAATCTAGTTTGTTCCTTTGGCACAGGTATCAAAACCCAGTTCCAGCTACTCTGACTGAATTTGGAAAACTATAAACAAACCATCAGTATAGCAATTCAAGTTAGAATAATGCATTGATTTTGCAACTCTTTTGGGTCAATTTTGATGTTTTATACTGTTTTTTACCGATGGCATTGATTTGTTGCCCACACTGTGAAGTGCCCAGGGTCCCCTTTGGGGCTGAGAAGGATGCTATATAAATACTGCAAATAAATAAATAAATAAATAAATCTCTTTTGGAAACCACTATCACAGTTCTTATAATTCAGTTTGTGCCATCCCTTTCTGACATTCAACCAACGAAATTACATTGCAAGGCTGTCATTAATGAGAATACTGGAACGGCATCTTAGGTTACATAACTCTTGGGTTGCATTTTTGGACAACAGCCATTCCAAACAATGCCTATAGTTTCAACATAGAATATTTAGTTTAACTTGCTTCAGACTGAATTTTTTAAGTACATCCTGATTTTTTGGTATTCACCTGCGCAATTTATGTGCTAGCACATGACTTGTCTCCTGATTAAATCTTTCAATGCATCATTGACAACAAGAGCCATTTGACTCAAATGGCAAACAGTAAGCAGTAGCAAAAAAAAATCTATCAGCTGACTTCAGAATCATACATTAATGATATCTCAATTTTATGTATATCTAAATGAGCAATTATTGAGAAAATATAGCAGGTAGTTTCTTCTTTTTGTTTCTTTTAATGGGATGTGTGTGTTTGTGTGTGCAATAACCAATTGCAAAATATTAATAGTTACAGTAGCAAGGACTTTTTTAATCCAAGAGGAATAAAATTCAAAAATTAAAATGTTAGATATTATAGATCTAATCTCTAGAATATTCGGAATCTGCAGTGTATTGTCAGGGGAAGGGAAACATTTATTGTTTGAAAATAGTACATTTTGTTCAAAAATTGGGAAATATTTTCATTGGTTTTGGCTTCTTCTGGAATACTACTCAGAAAAACAAACAACTTAGAAAAACACAATATGGTGACCATATTGAAACCTTCCAAGTCTGGAATGTCTTTCCATAATAATAATAATAATAATAATAATAATAATAATAATAATAATAATAAGAAGAAGAAGAAGAAGAAGAAGAAGAAGAAGAACCTGGTAAAAAAATAACATTGTGATTCTTTGTTAAGATTTTCTGTTTTTTACTTTCTGCTTCTGGAAGCATTCACAAAGAGGAGTTAAACCATGAATAGGTAATCAAATACAGCAACTGCATATTATGTTGCGTTTCTCCAGAAAATCAGTTAAGAGCCAAAGTGTTTTTAGTAAAGGTACAAACCTATCCAGAACAAGCTTAGATTTAAGGGATTTTTAAACAAAGTGTTTTGTGGTGGTCCTCTCCTTTGTTAAAGGGTTCTGGGGATCCTTTCTTGTATTTTGTAGTGGCAGGAGAAGTCCTTTAAACAACACCAGGTGTCACTTTGATTTCCAGTAATGTCCTGGATTAATGCTAGTTTATGAGCAACATAGGTCAAAGTTGAGCTACATCTAACCAGTAAGGTACTAGACCACTTTTACAGAAAAGGGAATCTAAAGCAGATGTTAGTGGTGGGCCCTATCAAAACACTGCCTCATAAACTAGCTCATAAACTCAGCAGTTATTCAAGTATGTCAGTTGTTGAATTGACAAGAGGTTTTTGATAGCATCTATGTCCTTAGCAGGTTCAAGACTAACTCAACTGAATTTATTTTAATTTATATTTATAGACCAAAATCTCTGTATATATTCAGTTATTGTGGAGACCTAAATGAATTTATTCCAGCTTCACTGAATTCTTGGATCTGAAGAAGTACCACAGATTATCAAAAAGTTGTCACATCATCGAAACTGTAGACTATATAAAATGCCAATGCCACTACAACAGTCATTGTGGTATTATTTGGTACAGAGAATAAATGACACCTGAAAACATCCTAAGGGTGGGGCATCTACATAGTACATATAATTTTGTGTCAATATCTTACATCTTTGTCTCCAAGTGTTTCGAGCAATAAAAGTAAAATGGTCTTGAAATGTTCTTCCCAAACTCCCAGGTTATCTTCCCTCGTAATCTTCAACAGTTCAAGAAGGGCTCCTTTCCGTTCTTCTACTCGCTCATTGTGATTGGATAATTCTTTTAAAAGATCAGCCACCAAATCGGAATGATCAATGGGCACTGAAGGAACATGTGAAAAGCCAGTCAATATTCAGTGAAGACAAACAGGCAAATATTGTGGTAAATGGCTGCATATGATTTCCTCCAGTGCTTTGACTGCAGTTTTATCTAGAAATAAACATATCCAGTCCTTAGCAATAGTTATACCTTTGAATGATCAATAATCTCAATGTCCCCATAAAGCATTATTTTTCTTGCAGACAGGGTGATGAAAAAACACAGAGCTTTGGTTCTTAGAGCTTTTCTAATCAACCCAACACAATGGCTTTGCTTCCTCCTAAAGGAATATTGGTATGAACCTGCTTTCCTCAAAAAATGTGGCTGCAAAAGTCTATTTGCACAGAGTTGGAGTATAAGGCTGAATGTGAGACTGCAATGCAACCAGCTAAATACTGGGCTCAGCTTCACACATTATGCCAGAACCCTGTGAACTGAACTAGAGATGTTGTACATTAACAAGCCATAAGATCCAGATCCATAAGGCCAAGTGTCACCCAAGTTCCCTCACTAGCCCAGTAGTGTAGGCTCATTAGGTAAGAGGTCACATAAGGGAGACATGCAGATCTCCAGTCGAAAAGGCTTGGCTATAAACAAAGCTAATGTAGCAAAGGATTGTAGGAGGTAGAGACTCAAAATGATCCAGTTCACCACTAGTAGTTACAGGAAATGTCTTCTTCAGAGCTACCATATATTTGGTGCTGCAATGACCCATCTACCTTGTTCCATCATGCCAGGTGAGCTCTTCTTGTTGGGATCAGGGGAAGTTGCATTGGAGTTCTGTCTGTATCCTAAACATTACATCAGGCAGAAGGACATATTTTTTGCTCTTTGCTCCTGATTTTCATTAAAGAATTTAATGTCACATAAAACACCGGGATTATGGATTTTACATTGAGCATTTTGGCCTGAAATAGTTTGGATTTACCCAATTTCTTAAACTAAGTAATAAGGGATCAACTTACCGCCTTGAGTCGCCGTAAGGCTGAGAAAGGCGGGCTACAAATGCAGTAAATAAATAAATAAACGTTGAGACTTAGCACAGCTATGTGGACAGGAGTCTAAACTAATTATAGGAACCTGAGCAAAAATCCAACTCAGTGAGATGACCTGAAAACGACAATATTTTCTGATAGTTTCCTACATGTTAAATGAGAAAAAGCTACTATTAAGGTTAAAATAAAATAAACAGCTGTGCATATGGACCTGAGGAGTGGTAAAAGGTGATGCACACTGAATGCAAGAAGCAAGTTTTACAATATGATATTTTCTTCGCTACTGAATACAAATGCTGATTGTTTGCACCAAAAATAGGATCACACTTCAGCATTAAGCTAACAAACCAAAACCTACCATCCCGAAGTTGATCAATATCATCATCAAACACAGCCTCTTTAAGAGCGGTTTTGTCATAGGCGCTGATAGTATCTGAGTATGGGTAGGGATTATACTCTCGGGTTCGGGGTCCCGAAAAGGCACGTGGGGGTTGAGTGTTGAGTAGGGAAGTTTTGTTGTCTAAAGCCATCCTTCCTCCTTCCACAACATCACTGTTTCCACGCATATCAGTAGCTGGGGATGCTACTCCACCATCCCGAGAAACCTGCAGGAATTGAGCCAGAAGAGGGCAATGTCAATTCAGCAATATATCACACTTTACTGGGAAACTGTATGTACAGTGTGATCCAGAAGTAACTATTACCCACCCCAAGGCTAATCATAAATTTAAATAAGTTCACTGCTTCCACTGGAGAAATAGGTTCAAACTGATAAGATGCTAAATAATTTTCACAAACACTTTCTTTTTAAAATATTTCCAATATTTTGGCACCACAGCAAAGCAGCAACTGTAGTACCAAAAACATTATGTTATTGGATATCTAGTTTCCTGATGATTTTGCACAGAATAGTGACCTAGGTTTGTTGCTTCTGGTTTCTATACCAAACAAAAATCATGGGGGATAATAACCCCTATATGGGTATTCAAATCCTATGTGTGCTATGAGACTGGGGTGGTTCCAGATTAGTCCCTAATTAGTACACTCATGTGAGCCAGTCCTAAGAAGTATGAATAACAATGCAGAGTTAATAATGCATAGCTGCAACATTTAAAATAATAAGGCCAACAATAAGAAGGTGTGGGAATATCAGAGATCAACAGGCTAACATTGCTTTTCAGGTACCAAGAAAGAACTTTGAACACTAATTGGTACAGAAATTAATTAATAAATAGTAATTCTTTTTTGAAGCTAAAAGAAAAGACTACTTACAATGTCACTGTCCTTCTTTCCATCACGTTTGATTGGTTCATTTAGATCCTCTTGGCTTCGAAAACTAAACTTTTCAATTGCTTCTGTGACTCCACGAAGAGAGCTATAAATTTCATCAGAATTTAGGTTCTCTGTGTCGTAATCCAGCATGCTAAAGATCAAACGTATATGGAATGTTAAAACCAATAAGATATTGGTATATTACAAGTCATTGAGGAAGTCATGAATTCAAAATATGTGGTAACTTTCAGAAGTCATGAATTCAAACACCAAGACAAAAGATTTCAGCAGTTGCACAACTAGATTGACTTTAATGCTACATTCATATGGAAATCATGAACGTCCTTTGTATTTAAACCAATTTCATAGCATGATAAAAATACTTAACACAGTATTTTTTATCCAAAACATTGAACACTATAATGCCACAGTATTTTAAAGCAAAAAGAACAGAAAAATAAAATTATTTCAATAAGATGTTCAAGCACTATGGTATTCTCAATCAAACTGTAACTCCAAATATGAAATAAAGTAATATTAATGATAAGTAACAACAATAAACATCAGTGATAATGGGAATCAAGCAGTTGTGTCACTATGAATTCAGTGCATGAAATACACACATTTATGTTTTGGCTTTACATTTGAGTTTGAACGCAATCTATTTTAAATAATATAAATGTCAGTGAATCAATCAATTTTAGAAGAAAACCTAATCTAACATTTAAACTGTTTTGCTGACGTGTGAAGTCTATTGCTACCATGACTTAAATCTCAAATTTTAAATTGTACAACTGAACACTTGAACCCATCTCTGGACCATTCTAGTTTCTTACAGGTGGTCCAAAATGCTCCATCAGTGCAAGGAACAATGACACCAATTGAGTAACATGACCAGAATATTTGGGAGAACTGGAACATATTTATGGAAGAAAAGGTGAAAAGAAAGGGCAGCTCTTCCTTAATTGTTTCTTCTGGTATTTGCTTGAACCTGTGTCAAGCAAATTATTACAGGAAGGAAAAAAAAACAGAAGAACGGCATTCCACTAAATACCCTGTAACTATGAAGATCATTCAGCTATGTGGGGCATGGGTGGTTCCAAGTTGTATTGCAAAACAAGATTGCAGAATTATCTTCACCATCACTGCTTCTTCAAATTGCTTAATTTCTCCATCCCTTAATTACACTGTACAAAATTACAGGGGTACAGGTTAAATATGAACCCTGGTCTCTAGAATACCAGGCTCAAATCTTAATTTCAAGAGCCATATCCCTGGTGTTGTCCTACTAACGTAATCATTCTAAGGCGGTCCTTCTGATTTTTTGTTTGATGGGGGGGGGGGCTACACAACCGTTTCCCCTCCCTTCTACTCTTTTTGAGAAAATGCTAATCAATATTGTATCCAGAATGAGCAGCTCCTAAGGACGAATGAGCAGCTCCTAAGATAAGCTCCGGAATTTGCTCCTGGAAATAGCTGTTTTTCCACAACTCCCCCCCCCCCCAGGATTTATAACCCAAAATGACAGCCAAGGGTAAAAAAAGATCCCGGACCAGCCCCAGCAATGGAACAGGGTCCCATAAATCACCAAAGGCACGGAAACAGATGAGAATGGATGCTTACCTTCCAAACTCCCCAGATATAGCAACAACAGGAACTGTGAGTAGCGGAGCATTGATAACACCTTCGATAAACTCACTTGATGTGGGTTCCCCCCTCCCTGACCAGGAGTCAAGCCCAGGACAAATGCCAGAGGGTAATGGAGATAATGGTCATTTGAACTCTCCGGGGTGCAGCCCCTCCCTGGACCATGATATGCAGAAATATCGGGAGATATGTTTGCTGTCAGTGGAATCAATGATGCTGATTTTGAACAGACTAGGTGAAATCTCACAACAGATTCAAAGGCTACTTGACTTGCATCCCCTACAATGTTTTCATGGAGTCAAGCCTGCAGAGACGCCCAGGTGCTCACATGCGGAGGACGCTCCTCTGACCACAGCTACTGTAAATCACAGTAATAAACCAACAGTTGAAACTAAAGCATGCCTCACTCTGCAAAATACCCAGATAGTTCTGCAGCTCAATCAAAATGCTTTGGGCTGGAGTCATAAACAACAAAATGTAAAATCACTGGCTTACTTGCTCAGAACCCAGCCCAAACTTATTGACTTAAAAGATCACCATTTTCTTCCAACACAGAATGGTGTAAAACGAATCCTCCTTACCTTCAACTCCCTTGAAATTCCAGGTCGTCTAGCTCAAATAAAGGACATCTTATGGAACAGGCACAGTATAACTATCAGTAGGGTATTTAAGGATCTGACAGTCAATCATCTCATTCCTCTAAATACATTAGATGCACAAGAACAAAAAAGAAACCTAACACAGTTAACACAGCTCCACAACAGGAATTGTCAGCCAGCAGTTGCTTACATTGATTTGGAACTTCAATCAGACCCTAATACAGATTCTTTCACGGTGCCTCCCAAGCCAAGCCCCCCCCCTCTAAGACCATTGCAAAAGAAAACAACAATGATAGAGACCCATCTGTGACCCCGGTAATGACACAAGTAACCAAAAAGCAGATCAAAGACACTCCTGCAGGTGCTGCTTTAAACATTCCACATACTATAGACTCTCCTCAAACCCAGATGGAGCTTGCCTCTCCACCGGTCACACGTGAGGGCTTACAGACAGCAAATGAGTTTGGCTCTCTACTCGCCAATGACCCACATTTCATTACTCATGTGGCATTGATCCATCCAGCCCCTTCATCAGAAGGCCAGGTTTCTTTTTCACCAAACAAGGACCTGGACCTGATGCAGAAGGATCATGACCAGGCCACAGACCCCTTAGGACTATGACAGCTACAGGACCAGCACGGGGTCAGCCTACTGACATGGAATGTGGCTGGGTGGCTCGCATCCATTAGAGACCCTTGTTTTATAGACTTTCTTTCCCACTATGATATTATTCTGATCCAGGAATTTTGGGCAGTAGGTGATCTGATAGCTAATGGATTCCACTCGTATTGTGTAGGGGCAGAGCCAGGGGCTACATATGGAAGAGCCAAAGGTGGATTAGGGATTTTAGTCTCTACCACTTTACGTACCATAACAAGGCCCCTTCCCTCATTAAAAACAACTGCCATGGCAGTGCTAATTCAACTTAAGTATCAGACCTTGATGATAATAAATGTCTACTTGCCTCCAACGAGGAAGAAGGCCCAAACTAGAGCTTTATGGTCAGAGCTGGAAAATTATGCTGCAGACCTCATGGCACAGAACCCAAATGCCTCTGTAATTTATGGGAGGGGATCTCAATGCAAGAATGGGACCTGATGATGCCACACTCTTTAAATGTTACAAAGGCCTTCCTTCTGCCACTGAATATGAGGTTCCACTTCTAACCCGTTGTTCCAAAGATCAAAAAACAAACTTTGCAGGGTTGTGTTTGGCGCAATCAAGATCACAACTGAATCTCCACATCTTAAATGGTGCTCTGGAAGGTGATCACCCAGCGGAATTTACATATCTTTCTGGCTCTAAAATGAGCGCCATTGACTATATAGCCATCTCAAGGGACCTTCTTCAATATGCTAAAACCTTGGAAGTTAAGCCCAAGTTTGACAGCGATCATTTTCCTGTCCTGCTGCACCTAAATTCTTTCTCCCAAAATACCCACACAGTGGAATGCTTTCAACCCTCCCCACCACCTCCAGGAGGAACCCATGTCAGGGTCAAATGGACTCCTTGTCTGAACCAAAGAATATCTGAGGTTCTAGCCTCTGATCAACTAATGGGTCTACAGACTGCCTTGACATCGTCAACATCCCCCAACATACTACTTGACAACTACATGAACATCACTCAAGAAATACAGAAGCACTTAAGGTTTAACAATTTTACATCAAGGAAGCAGCAACAGCAATACTCCAAGCCCTGGTTTGATAAAGATTGTGTTAATGCTAAAAATGCTCTTGTTGCCACTTACCAGGCCTTCGTGTCCAATACCTCACCATCAGCAGCGCAAGACCTCCTTCAACAAAAGAGGCATTACAAGCAAATGCTTGCATATATAAAAAAAAGGAAGCCATGAAAAACAACTGGGCTCAGCTTATTAAAGCTGTCAAAGAGAAAGACTCAGCCACTTTCTGGCATATTACATCAAATGCCCAAAGATCTGATAAACCTATTGTGGATTCCCACATCCCACCGGGGATTTGGGAGGCATATTTCCAGGATCTCTATATGGACACCTCTACTGGAAGGGACTGCCCCAACCTCGATATAGAGAACCTTCCACCATGGCCACCTGTATCAGCTACAGAAATTAAGAACCTGGTTGCCCAACTACGATCAGGCAAGGCCCCAGCAGAAGATCTTATCCCAGCAGAGGCCATCAAGAACAACCTGGATTTCTGGACCCCCATCCTAGCCTCACTTTTTACATGTATTGACAACCATGGCCAAATCCCCAAGGATTGGGGGCTTGCAATCATTGTTCCCATCTACAAAAAGAAAGGGAAAAAGGATGATCCTGCGAACTATCAACCAATCAGCCTCCTTAACACTATCAACAAGCTATATGCTAGATGCTCCAATGGAAACTCCAAGATTGGTTGGAACAAGAAAGCATATTAGCTGAGGAACAAGCTGGATTCAGGGAAGGTCGATCCACCATAGATCAGTGCCTAGTGTTGCAACACCTTGTGGAAAAATATTCCTCCCAAAACATAACCTCACTATATGCTGCTTTTATTGACTTTAAAGCAGCATTTGATTCCATCTCGCAAGTTAAACTTTGGGAAAAACTGAAGAGTTCTACAATTGAGTTATACCTAATATGCCAACTTCACAAAAAGACCACACTCAAAGTAAGATGCAACCCACAGGGCCACTCACTGAGGCTGTTGAAACAGGCAAGGGTGTCAAGCAAGGCTGCATTCTGGCCCCTTTGCTGGTCAACTTTTATATAAACTCCATAGTGGACCAGCTTCAAAATATGGACTCCCACCCCCCAAAGCTGGCGGGAAGACACATCTCCATCCTGCTTTATGCAGATGATGCTGCTGTACTCTCTAGAACACCCATTGGGCTCAAAAGAGCTCTGAGAGCATTAATACAACATTGCAACACAGATCAGCTC